AATTTATTTGCAAATTATGGTGGAAAATAAGTATTTGGTCAATAACAAAAGTTTCTCAATACTTTGTTATATACCCCTTGTTGGCAATGACACAGGTCAAACGTTTTCTGTAAGTCTTCACAAGGTTTTCACACACTGTTGCTGGTATTTTGGCCCATTCCTCCATGCAGATCTCCTCTAGAGCAGTGATGTTTTGGGGCTGTCGCTGGGCAACACAGACTTTCAACTCCCTCCAAAGATTTTCTATGGGGTTGAGATCTGGAGACTGGCTAGGCCACTCCAGGACCTTGAAATGCTTCTTACGAAGCCACTCCTTCGTTGCCCGGGAGGTGTGTTTGGGATCATTGTCATGCTAAAAGACCCAGCCACGTTTCATCTTCAATGCCCTTGCTGATGGAAGGAGGTTTTCACTCAAAATCTCACGATACATGGCCCCATTCATTCTTTCCTTTACACGGATCAGTCGTCCTGGTCCCTTTGCAGAAAAACAGCCCCAAAGCATGAAGTTTCCACCCCCATGCTTCACAGTAGGTATGGTGTTCTTTGGATGCAACTCAGCATTCTTTGTCCTCCAAACACGATGAGTTGAGTTTTTACCAAAAAGTTATATTTTGGTTTCGTCTGACCATATGACATTCTCCCAATCCTCTTCTGGATCATCCAAATGCACTCTAGCAAACTTCAGACGGGCCTGGACATGTACTGGCTTAAGCAGGGGGACACGTCTGGCAATGCAGGATTTGAGTCCCTGGCGGAGTAGTGTGTTACTGATGGTAGGCTTTGTTACTTTGGTCCCAGCTCTCTGCAGGTCATTCACTAGGTCCCCCCGTGTGGTTCTGGGATTTTTGCTCACCGTTCTTGTGTTCATTTTGACCCCACGGGGTGAGATCTTGCGTGGAGCCCCAGATCGAGGGAGATTATCAGTGGTCTTGTATGTCTTCCATTTCCTAATAATTGCTCCCACAGTTGATTTCTTCAAACCAAGCTGCTTACCTATTGCAGATTCAGTCTTCCCAGCCTGGTGCAGGTCTACAATTTTGTTTCTGGTGTCCTTTGACAGCTCTTTGGTCTTGACCATAGTGGAGTTTGGAGTGTGACTGTTTGAGGTTGTGGACAGGTGTCTTTTATACTGATAACAAGTTCAAACAGGTGCCATTAATACAGGTAACGAGTGGAGGACAGAGGAGCCTCTTAAAGAAGAAGTTACAGGTCTGTGAGAGCCAGAAATCTTGCTTGTTTGTAGGTGACCAAATACTTATTTTCCACCATAATTTGCAAATAAATTCATTAAAAATCCTACAATGTGATTTTCTGGATTTTTTTTCCTCAATTTGTCTGTCATAGTTGACGTGTACCTATGATGAAAATGACAGGCCTCTCTCATCTTTTTAAGTGGGAGAACTTGCACAATTGGTGGCTGACTAAATACTTTTTTTCCCCACTGTATGTGGTAGTGGAGTAGGGGCCTGAGGGCACACACTTGGTGTATTGTGATATCTGTTGTGAATGTGTTATGAAATCTTTTGTGAATGTGTTGTAATGTTTTTAAAATTGTATAACTCTCTTAATTTTGCTGGACCCCAGGAAGAGTAGCTGCTAAGTAATTTATCAAATTCAGCAGGCTGTGGTGTGAAATAGGCTTTTAGAAGTGCCATCTTTATTTGATTACTTATCGTTAATGATGTCTTTGGTGTGCTTTGGTGTGCTTATCAATGCACAAGCACCTTTTTACCTCTCTTATCGATACAATTATTTAATAAGTCAAACAAAAGTTTTACTGTGCGTGAAGTTTCAAATGCAGTCTGTCATTACTACATTTGTAATGTGATAGGTATTTTATTACTAGAAAACATACAAAAAACATTTGATTAATAAAATATTGTCTGTCACTGCGGATCTGACTTTTCCGGGATCTTTAGTTTGCTGTACTAAAGATCCCCTGCGCATGTGTATACGTTCTGCACGTTTATATTCTCTACATTACGCGTAGAGAACAGGCTACTCAGGCGAATGGTGCTCGTTTATTAAAGTTAGATGAAAGCTGAATCAATGTCTGCAAGATCACATAATGATAGTATTCTACATAACAGTACCGAATATAATAGCATTGTATAACGTTACTATAAGACAAAAACACTACCGCATTCAATCGTGAATAATAATTATTTAAGTTTTACCGGTGAAAAGTCCATGCAGCATCTGTGTAACAGTGTTGCTTCTGTCCCTCTCCTCGCCCCTACCTGGGCTTGAACCAGGGACCCTCTGCACACATTGACAACAATCACCCTCGAAGCACCGTTACCCGTCGCTCCACAAAAGCCGCGGTCCTTGCAGAGCAAGTGTGGTATCTGAGGAATTTATGACTTTGCTAATGGTTTCAAATGGTTTTAGAGGATGTTGACTCAGCTTAAAGGGAGCATCTGGGGAGGAGTTCTATAGGGGCACCCTAAAGCCGAGGAAGTCTGTTAGGTGGCCTCCTGGGATTGGTCGGTAGGGAAAACACCCATATTATATTACATAGGGCATAGGATATAAATACTTGGTTAAAACAAAGGAGGACAGAATAATCATATTTGAGATTGGGCGATTATTCTCCAGATGTCTGCAGATATCTGTAAATTGAAGCTGTAACCCTTTGATATAAATAAACCTTTATAATCAAAGTACAGCGTCAGCGGATTTCCTTGGTCTCACAGCATAATTAGCAACGTTTTCTCGACACCACACAAGGGAAACAACTACTTTAAGGTCTCAGAGCGAGTGATGTCACCGATTGAAACGCTACTAGCGCACACCGCTAACTAGCTAGCCATTTCACACCGGTTACATCTGCATACCAACCATTTGCTCTCAATCAGTTTCAAGGGGGTTCCGCTAGCTTCTTTATCCACAAAGTCAGATTCCACAGCCACAAAGTCAGATTCCACAGCCACAAAGTCAGATTCCACAGTGACAAAGTCAGATTCCACAGCCACAAAGTCAGATTCCACAGCCACAAAGTCAGATTCCACAGCCACAAAGTCAGATTCCACAGCCACAAAGTCAGATTCCACAGCCACAAAGTCAGATTCCACAGCCACAAAGTCAGATTCCACAGCCACAAAGTCAGATTCCACAGCCACAAAGTCAAGATTGGCTACAACCTTTTATTTAAGGTTAGGAATAAGGTTAGCAGTGTGTTTAAGGTTAGGAATAAGGTTAGGGTTAGGTTTTAAATCACATTTTAAGAAGATGCATTTTACCAGGTGCGTCTCCCATTTAATTGGGCCCATTAGATAGGCTATTATAATTTCACGTTTTTGCTCTATGCATCCGACAGGAAGCACGGTTTCTAACATACAGTAGAATTTAACAGGTGAACAGACAGTTGCTCTTTTGCATTGAATTCTATAGGCTACCCCTCTAAGTAGGCCTCCTTGTAGTTTCTTCTTATTTTTTCTGAGTAGACAATGTTTCAGAATTTAGCATATTTAGGTTTGGGAAAAAGTGAATGCAAGACATTATTAATAATATGCCATTTAGCAGACGCTTTCATCCAAAGCGATTTACAGTCATGCGTGCATACATTTTTGTGTATGGGTGGTCCCGGGGATTGAACCCACTACCTTGGCGTTACAAGCGCCGTGCTCTACCAGCTGAGCTACAGAGAACCACATATTATTATTGCATTCAAACGATCTGTTAACAGGTTCACAACAATTTGCAAACGATCAGATACAGCAAATGTCACTGCAAAAGAAAACATTCTGCTAACACCTCCAAAGACATTTGATCAAGTTCGCCATGCATTGCTATTTACTTTAAATACTGTCTTCCCTAATTCCAATACTTCCAAAGTATACAGCAAATAAGGGCGTTATAGTCACCATAAAGTATGAATGATGGGCGTTTTTCAGGTGGAGTTTTATAATGCTCGATAACGCGCGCACAGTTTTACGGAAGGTCTGATTTATAAGGGGAAACATGCGTATTTATAGCATGTGCCAAGTTTATAAATCTCAATATTTTAGTGCGTGCGCAGTCTTTTCAGAAATGGTGCACACAGCTATTTACTGTTACATTTTCCCAACGGTTATAAATTAGGCCCCAGGCACCCCATCTTAAGCGGTTTGACAACAGTAAAAGGCCAGCAACACTCCATATTATTCAGAGCCCTGTGAAATGACACCATATAGGCTATAGATTCTACAGACCCTACTGAATACTCCCCATCCCACTTTTACATCGCCATTACATAATCGTTTTTCTCTATCAGGCATTATGTAATGTGATTTGCATTGGGAATTTATTTGACATTGTAACATGTTTTAAAACCCGAATTAAATACAAATGTCACTTAAATATCAACAAATATGAATCACGGTTAATTTTTTGACAATTATTTTTCATACATCATGAATAAATACCGGTTAATTACACTTTTCTTCTATTACGTGGGGGACTTCTATTTAGAAAAATTTCGAAATTCCGTGACCCGGAAGTACTTTTGTAGTGTTGCTGACGAGACGTGATATCCTTGCTCTGTTCTCAAAACATTCACATTTATGGGATAATATAGCCGAGCACATTCTTCATTGACCTCGCCTGCTTTAAAGTGTTTAAAGAGGAGTAATTCAAGAGAAGCGAGATTTAACAGCACGAAGTTCTGATACTTGCACGGTTTTGAACGTGAGCTTGCTTGCTAGCTAGCTATCTTCAGATGATACACATTAGCTAGCTCGCTGCCACCGAAAAGGGGACAACAAAGTTGACAATCGAATACAGAAGTTAGACCAAACAAACAATACGAACTAGTTTGCATGCGGCTTGGTTGATGCTTTGAAAGAATGGGTTTTAGTCAAACGAATTACTGTATCAACCAAGCTCAATTGAGTTTTTCATGTGAGCACTGAATAACCTTGTTTCGGTATTTTAATGGGAGGCGGGCTGCGTTGGAGTAGTACATCTAGTGGGCGACACTTGCGAAGAAGGCGGAGGTGCCGGAGACGTGCTGGGCTTGGATGGACTCGCTTGCCGGGTACGTATACAAAGCGGCTGCTGAGGGCCGAGTCCTGACGCTGGCCGCCCTGCTGCTCAACCACTCCGAGGCCGAGACACGATATTTACTGAGTTACGTGACTCACCTGGCTGGCCAACGGTCAACTCCTCTCATCATTGCAGCTCGAAACGGACACGACAAAGTTGTGAGGCTGCTGCTGGATCACTACAGGGTGGATACTGAACAGACTGGCACAGTCAGATTTGATGGGTTAGTATTCATGAATTGAATCATTGGTCATTCAATTGTGTGATTACACTTTATTTCTGCTGGCAATGGTCGGAAATTAAGCACCTTAATTGACTTTCATGTCAAATGCATCATTTGCTGGTTAATTCATTTGACCCATCTCTTCTCTCTCCTTCAGGTATGTCATTGACGGGGCCACCGCGTTGTGGTGTGCGGCTGGCGCAGGACACTTTGAGGTGGTCCGCCAGTTGGTGTGCCACCAGGCTAATGTCAACCACACCACTGTCACCAACTCCACCCCCCTGAGGGCGGCCTGCTTTGACGGGCGCCTGGACATTGTGAAATACCTGGTGGAACACCAGGCCAACATCAGCATCGCCAACAAGTACGACAACACCTGCCTGATGATCGCCGCCTACAAGGGCCACACAGACGTGGTGGGCTTTCTGCTGGAGCACGGTGCCGACCCCAACGCCAAGGCCCACTGCGGGGCCACCGCCCTGCACTTTGCTGCCGAGGCAGGCCACCTGGACATCGTGAAGGAGCTGGTGCGCTGCCAGGCAGCCATGGTGGTGAACGGCCACGGCATGACGCCGCTCAAAGTGGCGGCGGAGAGCTGCAAGGCGGACGTGGTGGAGCTGCTGCTGTCGCACGCCGAATGTGACCCGCACAGCCGCATCGAGGCCCTGGAGCTGCTGGGTGCCTCGTTCGCCAACGACCGGGAGAACTATGACATCCTCAAGACCTACCACTACCTCTACCTGGCCATGCTGGAGCGCCACCGCGATGTCGGCGCGCTCATCGCCAAGGAGCTACTGCCGCCCATCGAGGCCTACGGCGGTAGGGGCGAGTGCCGCACCCCGCAGGAGCTGGAGGCCATCCGGACGGACCGCAATGCGCTGCACATGGAGGGCCTGATGGTGCGCGAGCGCATCCTGGGCTCGGACAACATCGACGTGTCTCACCCCATCATCTACCGGGGTGCCGTGTATGCCGACAACATGGAGTTCGACCAGTGCATCAAGCTGTGGCTGCACGCGCTGCTCCTGCGCCAGAAGGGCAACCGCAACACGCATAAGGACCTGCTGCGCTTCGCCCAAGTCTTCTCCCAGATGGTGCACCTGAAGGAGCCGGTGGGGGCAGAGCCGGTGAAGCAGGTGCTGCGCTGCAGCGTGCTGGAGATCCAGAGGAGCATGGCCAGGGTGGAAGCAGCACCTGAGGCCGAGCTTCACACGGCTATGGACAACTACGAGTCCAACGTGTTCACCTTCCTCTACCTGGTGTGCATCAGCACCAAGACAGTGTGCGGCGAGGAGGAGCGCGCCCTTCTCAACAAGCAGATCTACAACCTGATCCAGCTGGACCCGCGCTCGCGGGAGGGCTCGTCTCTCCTGCACCTGGCCATCAGCTCCAGCACCCCAGTGGACGACTTCCACACCAACGACGTGTGCAGCTTCCCCAACGCGCAAGTAACCAAGCTGCTGCTGGACTGCGGCGCGCAGGTGAACGCAGTGGACCACGAGGGCAACAGTCCGCTGCACATCATCGTGCAGTACAACCGGCCCATCAGCGACTTCCTGACGCTGCACGCCATCATCATCAGCCTGGTGGAGGCGGGTGCCCACACTGACATGACCAACAAGCAAAAGAAGACGCCGCTGGACAAGAGCACCACGGGTGTGTCGGAGATCCTGCTCAAGACCCAGATGAAGATGAGCCTCAAGTGCCTGGCGTCGCGGGCCGTGCGCCAGCACCAAATCACATACCGCAACCAGATCCCTAAGACTCTGGAGGAGTTTGTGGAGTTCCACTGATCCACCTGGCCATGGAGACCTTTTTAAACAATTAGAAAACTCTTGTTCTTATTTTTTTTGTTATAATTTTCTAACAAATCAAAACTGTGCTGGCTGGTGATGATGATGATTATGAACAGTTTGACACATTTAGGTTTTTAAACAATGATTCCCTTTTTCTATTATAAGTATGAATTGTGAGTACCAGCAGCAGCACCCATACTGAAGTGTGTTACTGTCTGTGGTTGTCATTCTGACTAGTGGGTGTCACTTGCAGAATGAGGAAATTGTCAGCCTGCTTTGTGCTTTCACTTTCCCAGAGTGTTCCAAAGAGAATACTTGGCACTGCCAAGCATCCACACAATGGTGACAACAGCAGGACCATTTGACAGCTTGTACTGCATGGATCCAATTGTCCCAGACTCCCAGCTGGGTTCACAACCATGAAAAGTAACATTACACTCAATTGATTATTTTGCCTTATTATATTGCTTGTTGCAGAGATGTTGTATGCTATGTTGCATTGATTATGGAGGGCAGTGGTTTGTTTGTGTGTGTGTGTTTGAGTGACCGAATGTGTGTCAGTCAATGGCTGGGAGATGAGACAGTAGTAGTTAAAGTCTTGGCGATAGAGAATAAGCAAGAAAAGCACAGCTTTGCAAAACAGCCAGTCATACTTTTTTTCAGTCACCCATTGCTCTTTATAAATTGGCACGGTTCCACTGATGTCTATATTTTGACATTGTTTTGCCTTGTGATTCTCAAGTCTAGTTGGATCGTCTGCCTATGTTTGGTTCCAAACTACAACTGGTGATAGAGTATTATTGCATTATAATAACGGATCGTTTCAGGATTTCTCTGTAGAAGAACAGTGAGCCAACCCACACGGTAGAGAGAGAACTGCTGGACAGCACTTTATACTTATAATAGGAGTTTTTTCTTTTCATAACTGATATAAAATAAAGGTTTATTTAAGAGGGTATGTTTGAAGATATATTTTTATGGAAAAAACATCTGCAGAAATAGATGTAAAATGATATTTTACACAAACACTGACTGGTAAAGATGTGCTTGTGATTCTATTTAGATTTTCTCTTTTGGAATAAGTAGGCCTAGATGTCCCCTTTTAACCAAGTCACCAACGCATGTGGGTTGTTGGCCATTCTGATGAGCTTTGCTACAGTGTGAGGGAACGAGCTTGGCGGCTGTGTGTGGAGACTCCATGGCTTTGGCTGAGCATGACCACATACTGGCCTTTAAATGGATGCTGCTGCTATTGATGTTTGAGCATGTCTTCCAGTTTCCGTCTCTTGTATTTGTGTGTGGGTACGCATGCTGAGATGGAGGGAAGGACTGTGGAATGTTTGTGACGGGGTTGAATGTAGGCCTATAGCCTTTTCCCTCATTCTTGCAACATGTCGTTCGTCCATAATAACCAACGATTGTACCGTCCGTCCTTGTTCTGTTTCCTAATCGGATGGTCAGAGATTAAAACTGAGAATGAAAGGTGATTTCTGCCGATTGTGACCATAGCATGCCATTAAGTGCGCTTTCTACTTTAAAACGGTGTGTGTTAAGACTAAATGCTCTATTGATTTGATCCGATTTGGCTTTAACTGTATGACACTGTTTTAAAAAAAATAATTGAGTGGAGAATGTATGTATCAGATATTTCTATTTTAATATTTTGTATTTGGGGTGAGTATTGGACTAATGGATGCAAATGAACCCAAAGACAGTTTAACCCAGTGTTTCTTTTTTCAGCAGTTTACATGTCTTTTGGAAAGATACTCGTGCATTGAAGACATGAAAGATACTGCAGAAACAAAGTTGGTGTCATATTAAAGCTCTGTTTCCCAATAGCTCATTGGATTTGTCATTCCCCTTAAAGTTAATACAATTGATTTCATTTGATTCAAGTTTATTTGATCAAAGAAAGCCATCCAAGTCGGAGCATTTTCTGTCAGAAGTTGTGGGACTAAAACATTTTTACATTTTACATTTTACGTCATTTAGCAGACGCTCTTATCCAGAGCGACTTACATAAGCATTTAGGGTTAAGTGCCTTGCTCAAGGGCACATCGGCAGATTTTTCACCTAGTCGGCTCGGGGATTAGAACCAGCGACCTTTCGATTACTGGCACAACGCTCTTAGCCACTAAGCTACCTGCAGAAAACGATTTCTATATCACTCTTTGTGTAAAGTGATACATTTTTGCCTTGATATTAATATTTCTTATACTTTCCTTTTCTACTTGCATTCAATTAATATTTCTTTAGGTATAATTATCCCCAATTTTTTTTTTCTTGAGGTGTAGGATCTCCCTTTTAATATGACACCAAAACTGCTTAGAAGTGTGCACACAATCAAATGTATTGACATTGGTCCTCTCCAGAGGGAAAATGTAATGTGGCAATTCTGTCTGAAATCCGAGTGGATAGTGCCAAAATCTGTTCAATGTCACATGCAATGACCCGCATACCAGATGGCCTCTCGATTGAGTCCGAGCAACTGTGGGCTTAAATCTTCTCTAAAACAGATGATTCCACTGATATACCACACACATGTCATTGCATGTGGAAGCTGACCAAAACGGGTCAATCTTTTCTAATGGATATCAAGGTCAAGGTGCCCTTTTCTGTCTTTTTAGTTGCACTGGTATTGACAAGGGAGGGTAGATGACAGAAATGTCTTATTTCATTACAGTTAACAGAAAACTCATGAACTCTTTATAAACCACATGGCATGCTTTAATGATTTCTACATGGCCATCATTGCATCTTCCTTGAGATCCTGTCTAGGACCCCATGTCATCTGTGTTCATATATAAATCCACAGGTTGTACGCAACGGTGCAAAGCAGCCTCATATTGGTGTGCATACATCTGACAACATTGTTGCACAATAGCCTTATTAAGTTAATACTATGTAGTTATATAGTAATGCCACTCCTTTTTTTTTAACAGTCATCGACAACTTAATTCAGTTGTGAAGGCACAGTTGGATATGTACAAAATTCAAGTTTATCGTTATACAACAAAAGTGCATCAGCTATAGAATATGGCATTTGCAAATACAATATAATATCTAAGTTGCAACATTTCCTCTTCCGAAATAAATGAGTAGGTCGTTGCTGTTGCATATTTGAGAAACACCATAGCAAAAGCCAATAAATCATCAGCCATTATAGGTAATCTTATGTTCCGAACAGGCTGCCTGGTTTTCTTTGAGCTTGTGCTGTATGTTACTGATGGATTATTCCATTCACTCTATTATACTCAGACACACACACACTGAAAACCATACACTTTCTTAGAAAAATATTCTGTGGTCCTTGGTCTGGTCAAAGATGGATTGTCATTTGGCTTTGTGATTATGATAGGTCTTAAAGACTGACTGATAACCAGGACCTCTGTGAGTTTTGTCCAGATGGTGTCAGTCTGCTAAAGTGCCTCAGTCTTACGAGACACACAGGTGGGCCGGGAGCGTCTGTCGGTTCTAAGCCGGCGAGTAAGAGGGCTCGGCAGTGCAAGACGGGTGCTGTTCAGCCAAGAGGAATACGGACACCGAGCTCACGCCCACAGTCTTGTCTGGGGTGTGCTGGGGGTCCCTGAGTGATGGGGCTGATGCGGGTCTGCACTGTTGCCATGGTTACCGCTCCTCTGGCATCTTCCCGTTGGCTACTTGCTCCTCCTCTTCCTCCCGCTGTTTCTGCCTGTTGAAGAAGCCCAGCTGGGAAGGCAGATACAGAGAGGGGAAAGAGTGAAACCAAAACCGTTCACCAGGTATCTACAGGCACCAACATGCTGGTAGAAAGGCTGAGTTATTATTGATTATAAACCAGGTAGTTTGGCACCTGGATGCTGATTGGCTGAAAGCCATGGTATGTCAGACCGTATACCACGGGTATGACCCCCAAAGTATTTGTACTATTCTAAATATGTTGGTAACCAGTTTATAATAGCAGTAAGGCACCTCTGGGGTTTGTGGAAATGGCCACTATACCACGGTTAAGGGCTGTATCCAGGCAGTCTGCGTTATGTCGTGCATAAGAAAAGCCCTTAGCTGTGGTATATTGGTCATATACCACACCCCCTCGTGCCTTATTGCTTCATTATAATGAAGATTTATGCAGGATGGCATTGATTCATTCCTACCTTCCATAGAGCCAGGATAAGCAGGGCTAGCAGCAGCAGACCGCCCAGCGTGCTCCCCACTATAATCCAGATGGGAATTTTGTAATCTTCCTCCTTTCTCATCTCCAGGATTATCTAGAGGGGAAATTACACTGGACTCAGGCATGTATGGGGGATCTGGTTTGGCTGGACTTTGCGGAGAGTGAAAGGTCAACAAACATACATTTAATACTGTCTGAAATTATTTTTCATTCTCTATGGTGGTCTTAAAACATGAGGATTTACAGGTACATATAATGTGTATAGGTCATACCAGCAAACTCCATCACCAATCTCTCTGACCAACTCCCTCGGCTCAATTCATGAGCTTTCTGAAGATCTCATGACCGTTGCGCCATCATTTGGAGGATGCACTCAAAGATTTGGCCTAGCTAGGCTACTCAGTACTCATGATATATTGCTTGTTTGTTTCTTGTTTTTTTAAGCACTTTTAGATTTAGGCCAGGATTCAACCAGTCCCATCGTGCTGTCTGCCATGCACATTTTAAAGCCAATGTTCCCACGTTCACGGAGACTGCATTCATGGGAAACGCTGCATAACGCTCAATTGGAAATTACCTTTAAATGGCGGATAGCCGACAAAGCGCAATCGGATTGAATCCGGGCCTTATTTCTGTTATTCAAAGCACTATAGAAGTTTAATAAATGTATTATTATTAGGTGTGTTTAGCATCTAAGAAAAATAACAAACTGACCACAACCGAGTGATTGAAATATACCATGAAAATGACTGTGCCTGTGAACTACCTGTTCAAGTTATCAAGTTGAACCTGTGGTTTGAAGTGTAGTAAAATTGTAACGTAACAAATGAAAGGCATCTACAACAGCAAAGTAATCAGTATCACTTTCTGCCAGAAGGTGGAACCATAACCACATATATCTGAGCAACTAACACCACATTCTCCTGGTCCTCCTAGTTCTTAGGCCTCACTGGCAAGCCAAACAAGTGTGGGCACTCAACAGGGGGACTAAGTACACTTCATAAAGTACACTCAAACCAGCCCATTCCTTCAGGCTGTTATGAAGTGTTATGAAATATATGAAGTGTGAGTTGGACGTTGCTGGGGTCTTACGTGTCGTGTTGGCCTCTCCTCATGCAGAAACATGGGACTGGACGGACTCAGTTCAATGGAGGCTGCTGTCACCAACTCCAGAGTTTTAAACCTCACCTAGCAGGAAAGAGTTTAACAATAAAATAACTATCATTGCAATGAACAAATAACTCAGTCATAAACAAGTGACATTAAAGAACAACAGGAATTGACAGTTCTTTACATTAAAGGGGCTATTCAAAACTTTTGCCTCGGGGTCCAGATCACATCTTAAAATGGTCCACACGCGCACAGTCGTAAAGAAGGCGCGACAGCCGCACATTAAGCGGTACTGGAGCAATAAGTCTGACACCAAAAGGCTCCTGAACAGCTTCTATCCCCAAGTCATAAGACTGCTAAATAGCTAACAATATGGCTGCACGGACTATCAGAGTTTTTTTTTGCACTGTCTCTATGCACACTCACAGGACTCTACACACTCACGCACACTGATACTCCCAACATACACATAACATGCACAAACATTTATACTGACTATACACATGCACACACGCTCCCACACAATCATAATTTACGCTGCTGCTACTCTGTTTATTATATGTCCTGATGCCTAGTCACCTTACCCCTATCTACCTCTATCACTCCAATATCCCTGCAAATGTTAAATATGGTATTGGAGCGGACCCTGTATATAGCGTCTTACTTTCTTGTGTTCTTCTTATTTATTATTTGTATTTCTTGTGTGTTTTTGTTCTGCCTCATGTTATTGATATTGATTACTGCATTGTTGGGTTTAGAACATGCAAGAAAGGCATTTCACTGTACTTGTGCACGTGACATTAAAACTCGAAACCTGGATGCTATTGAGCCAACAAACATCCTATAAATGGTCAAAGTTTGAAAGAGTTATGGAGAAAGAGAGGAATAGGGGTGGTGAATGTCAGAAGTCATGTCAAACTCACAGCGAGGAGAGCTTGGAGGTGCAGCCGCCCCCTGACTGTCACTTTGACCTCCCTGTATGCAGGCAGGGTGAGTCTGCACTGCATTGGCAACGTCATGCTGTTGGAGTGATTCTGCACAACACATAACAAGGATTATCATCAACATGATACTGTCCTAATAGCACAGATGCTGCATACTCAGAGGGACCATAACCAGATGCAAAACGGATTGAAATGACTTCATATTCATGTTATTCCAACCAGTTTATGGTTGAAATGACATCATATTAATGTTATTCCAACCAGTTCCTGGTTGAAATGATATCATATTAATGTTATTCCAACCAGTTTCTGGTTGAAATGATATCATATTAATGTTATTCCAACCAATATCTGGTTGAAATGATATCATATTAATGTTATTCCAACCAGTTTCTGGTTGTAATGATATCATATTAATGTTATTCCAACCGGTTTCTGGTTGTAATGCTATCATATTAATGTTATTCCAACCAGTTTCTGGTTGTAATGATATCATATTAATGTTATTCCAACCAGTTTCTGGATGTAATGAAATCATATTAATGTTAATCCAATCAGTTTCTGGTTGAAATGATATCATATTAATGTTATTCCAACCAGTTTCTGGTTGAAAGGATATCATATTAATGTTATTCCAACCAGTTTCTGGTTGAAAGGATATCATATTAATGTTATTCCAACCAGTTTCTGGTTGTAGTGACGGCACCAGTTGTGCTGCCTGGGTAGTACTTCAGTACATACCCAACCACACTAGACACGCAGGCAGATAACGGATACTTACCAACTGTGGGACGTGTGAGAGATCTTCAGGGAAAACATGGCTTGGAGTCATGTGATGTGGGAGGACACAGTTAGAGCTAACCGTCTGGTGAAGAGAGAGCGAGAGAGAGTTTTAATCTGTCATAGCTACACACAGACACAGGCAGTAGGACAGCCAGTACAGCCAGAAACAACAACGGCGAGATCTGAAAACAGCAGTTGGTGCGAGGGCACCCATCAAACATTGAAGAATTAGAGCAGTTTGCTGCTGAAGAGTGGGCTAAATTGCCAGCAGAAAGATGCAGCAAGCTCATTGATGGCTACAAGAAGTGTTTGTCTGCAGTTATCTTAGCCAAAGGCTGTGCAACCTAGTACTAGCTCCGGGGTGCCAATAATTTTGTCCATGCCATTTGTCTTTATTTTCTAAATAAAAATTGTAAACTTAAGTTTACAAAAATAAAATTGGTTTGCAATGTTGAAAAACCAATAACAAGGTGTGGTGACCACAATTTGGTTTAAATGTCAACTTATTTGAGAAGAAATAGGGAATATCTACGAAAGGTGCAAGGGTGCTAATATATTTGGCCGCAATTGTATCCAGTAGATTAATTAACTATTGACACTGCAATATAAAAATATTGAATAATAACCGATCCTCTCACCTGGTCAATGTCGATATTGGCAATCTGGAAGAGATGGTTACCACTCTTTGTAACAGCAAACACGTCAACAGTGAACTGCAAGTCTGTCACTGGGAAGAAGCCCAGATTCTGGATCTGTACATTGAGAAGATAAAAAATATAAAGATACTGAAGAGAATGGAAAAAAAAAGTTTAAAAAAATGTATAGTCTACAGATTATAGTCAGTATTTAGTATTTATACTATAATGTGGATTGGCCATAGGTATAACTTGGACAAAAGGTTGCAGGTCGGGTCTTGTTAAGGTAGGGTTGAGAGATACTCACGTGGTAAGTAAGGTTAAACGTTGGACCACTGCTGCCGGGTTTGTTCCGGTAGGGGTCTGAGTTGATCTCAAAACGAGGAGGCGTGGAGTCCCTGAGGTGGAGAGAAAATCAGTGGATGATCCAAAATAGCCACTTTAAAACACTCCTTATGTGTGGAATCATCTGAATTCAGCAGCTCATAGAAATCCACCTTGTGAACAGGAGGTCTGCCTCATACTTCAGAGGATGAAATATGTTGTTGATGTTGTCCTCTGGGCTCATCTCCTCCCCGTCGCTGTAGAGCACAAATCAACATGAAATAATTCACCTGGACCCTGTTTGTGTTTGACACCAGGGTTGGGGTCAATTCCATTTATTTCAGTTTACTTCCCAAATTGACTGGATTGAAATGGAATTGACCTCAACCCTGTTGGGTACAGTACATACATTAATTGTTTAGGAGGAGGTGATTGTGGAGACATAGCAGATCCGGTTCCAATAGTCCGTAGCGGATGGGTACCTGGTGGTACTAGCTACCCAATGGGCAAAAACTGGCTGAATCAATGTTGTTTCCACTTCATTCAAAAAAAAGATATGTGATGACATTGAATCAACGTGGAAAATTGATTGGATTTGAAAAAGTCATCAACGTAAGGGAATTTCGTCATTTATTAATCTAACTTTTAACCCAGGGGTGTCAAACTCATTTTCGCTCAGGGGCCACATGGAGGAAAATCTATTCCTAAGTGGGCCGGACCGGAAAAATCATGGTATATATAACTTAAAAACAACAACTTCAGATTGTTTTCTTTGTTTTAATACGATCAACATACAACATAAAGCTGGAGCCTGAGGACAGTGTGTCCAAAATAGTAATTCTCAGGCAGAAATGTAGATAAAAATAATGAAATCCGCAAACAAGTGCAAGAACCACAGAGTCAAGAATAGGTTAAATATACAAATAAAATAAAATCAATTAAAAACAATAGTACATCAACATAAAAACATATAAACATAAAGCTGGAGCCTGAGGACAGTGTGTCCAAAAGCACAACATCACTATTAATCATAAAACACGTCAAGTTTATTTGAAAATTCTAAAGAAAAAGAACACAAACACACAATGCCTCAGTGATTCACAGAAGTATATCACAGATCACAGAACTATATCAGGGTGTCTCATGTAGCACTTTAAGTGGGGTTGCATAGTTTATTTGACTCCTGATACCTGGCATCTTTTAGCTTTCACCAGCGCATCAATATCAGGCGTCACATCCTGAGTGGCAGCCAATTTCAGGATGTGATTCAAGTGCTTGTGCGTGAGCCTTGAGCGCAGCTTTGTTTTATTTATGCTCATTACAGAGAAAACTTGCTCACAAAGATATGTGGTTCCAAACATGCACAACAGTTTTGCAGCGAGGGCTGTCAAGTTGGGGTAACCTGGCAATAGATTCTGATTAAATGTGTCCAAGCCAGCTGCGGCAAATTTGCCCTTCAAATCTGAGTCACACTGCAAGTCTATTATTTCAAGTTGGATGCTGACGGGCAGATCAAAGGGATTCACGGTGAATGGCGAGCAAAAAACGTTGAAGTCTTTCTCCAGTTCACCAAAAATCTGAAAGCGTTGCTCAAACTCCCGTAACAGTCCCGTTATTTTATCTTTGAACCGCCACATGTTGGGTCGCGCACACATTTTTCAGACAGGGGAAGTGAGCTGCGTCACCACCGGCAAGTTGCGTCTCCCACAATGACAGCTTCAACTTGAAAGAACGTATGCTGTCATAATACTGCGTGACAACTTTGTTGCGCCCTTGCAGCTGTTTGTTCAAGTTATTCAGGTGCTCTGTAACATCCACCATAAATGCAAGGTCCTGCATCCATTCTGCGGAATGGAATTCTAACACTGGTTTGCCCTTTTCTTCCATGAACTGTTCAATTTCTTCTCGTAAATCAAAGAAACGCCTCAGCACCTCGGCTTAACCATCTTACCTCAGTGTGGTATGGCAGGCCATAGATGTGGTCTTTCTCTCTGAGAAGGCTGTCAAACTGACGGTGATTCAGGCTTCTGGATCGGATGAAATTAACAGTTTGGATGACCACCTTCATGACGTTATCCATCTTTAATGACTTGCAACACAAAGCCTCCTGGTGCAAAATACAGTGAAAAGTCAAAAAATCACGTCCTCCATTTGCAGATTGCACTTTCTCTCTGAACTTTGTCACAACGCCTGCTTTTTTCCCGATCATTGAGGGCGCACCATCTGTAGCCAGGCTGACAGCGCGGGACCAGTCCACTCCGACCCTGTCCAGCGCGCCGACGAGTGCGGTAAAAATATCAGCTGCTGTCGTTGTATCTGTCATCGGCACCAACTCCACGAACTCCTCGTGACGGTCAATGTGTCATCAACTCCGCGGATGAAAATGGCCAGTTGTGCAACATCTGTAATGTCCGTGCTTTCATCAATTGCAACCGAAAACGCAATAAATGACTTTACTTTTTGCTTCAACTGGCTGTCCAAATCCACTGAAAGATCGGAAATCCTGTCTGCAACTGTGTTTCTTGTCAGGCTGATATTTACAAAAGCCTGACACTTTTCAGGGCACACAATCTCCGCTGCCTTCATCATGCATGTTTTTACAAATTCACCCTCACTAAATGGTTTTGAAGCCACTGCGATTTCATTAGCAATGAGGTAGCTAGCTTTCACTGCAGCGTCACTGATGTCTCGGCTGTGAGTAAACACAGACTTGACCTACTTGCTCTGCCCCGGTATAAACAGTTTGCTTGCTTAACACAATTGCTATTGCGCCATCCAGTGGACGCAATTGGAACAGCAGTTTATTTTATTGAAAAATTGCAGCGCATTTTTATACTTTACAAAATCATCTCGCGGGCCGGATTAAACCCGTTTGCGGGCCTGATCCGGCCCGCGGGCCGGACGTTTGAACCCCCTGTTTTAACCTAAATCGAATGACATGGTGAAATGTTTTGTTGATTTAATAATAATATAATATAACATAATATGCCATTTAGCAGACGCTTTTATCCAAAGCGACTTACAGTCATGCGTGCATACATTTTTGTGTATGGGTGGTCCCGGGGATTGAACCCACTACCTTGGCGTTACAAGCGCCGTGCTCTACCAGCTGAGCTACAGAGGACCAGCTGGATTTCATGTTGAATTCACATTAGTTGACAACCAAATGTAAATCAAAACTAGATGTTGAACTGACGTCTGTGTCCAGTGGGTAGGGACTGAAATGGAATGTGGTGATTGGCAGGACAAGTTGAGCATACAAGGCCCTCAGCAATGGTTAATATGAACATATACAGGTAACTGCCAAAATAAAGGAAACACTTGAGTAAACGATACAAAGTATATTGAAAGCAGGTGCTTCCACACAGGTGTGGTTCCTGAGTTAATTAAGCAATTAACATCCCATCATGCTTAGTGTCATATAAAAATGCCCAGTTCCCCATTATTTTGGCTACTAAGGCTAGAAGAAGAGATCTCAGTGACTTTAAAAGAGGGGTCTCAAAGGAGCATAGGGGGTTTAAAGGGTGTGTGTGTGTGTGTGTGTGTGTGTGTGTGTGTGTGTGTGTGTGTGTGTGTGTGTGTGTGTGTGTGTGTGTGTGTGTCACCAGATCTCAACCCAATTGAACACTTATGGGAGATTCTGGAGTGGCATCTGAGACAGCGTTTTCCACCACCATCAACAAAACACCAAATGATGACATTTCTCATGGAAGAATGGTATCGCATCCCTCCAATAGTCCAGCCATTTATAGAATCTATGCTAAGGTGCATTGAAGCTGTTCTGGCTCGTGGTGGCGCAATGCCCTATTAAGACACTTTATGTTGGTGTTTCCTTTATTTTGGCAGTTACCTGTATGTTTATGAATATATTAATATATGTACTGTATGTCTATCACCTGGCAGCCTCCAGGACAACGCTCACATGGTCCAGGAAGACAGAGTGACTCAACTCAAACTCCAGCCGGAAAGACACCTGGGACACGGGCAGAAAATACATTTACTATGAGTCACATACCATCCACATGCATTTTTTTATGTTGGAAACTCAGGAACTGAGAGACTTACACAGGCTAAGAAATGTTAAGGTATCGGGCAACAAGCTGTGATTTACATTTAGTTTTTGCCTCCAGTCAAATTCTACCTAATATGGTACAGAGGCTTTTCAAAGGAGAGCCAGTAGAAATCTGCACCATGGTATTTCAGACAGCCCTCTCTGAAGTGGTGCCTCAAGGCCAGGGCCTATACTGGGGCCACCACGGTCTCTGCTGCTTTACTGTGGAGTTTAATACATCATCTGATAATGAGTGTAGAAAAACACATTTTTCCTAATCCAATGTAATCTAATCTAAATGAATGAACTGAAAATGAACAAAAACGATATGTCTAAGAGTGCGGTTTCTGCTCACAGCCAGAACACAGAATGGACCTGTAACTCACTGACTTACCATGGTATATCAGGACAATAAAACCAGGGACAGACAGAGGAATCTCCTAAATGGGGCTCAGTGGTATTTAAGGCACTGGGTGACCGCAATTCTCCGACTACAAAACTATATGACCATGTGTTGAGTTGAGAATGCAAGCTTTTGTACAGATGGCTTTACCTATAAAGTAGCTTATTTTTGCAGGTTTAGGGTTCTGTTTATTACCCTCACCTGGTAAGCTGTGCATACTGAAGTTATGTCTTTGGTCATGTTAAAGGGATAGTTCATCTAACTTACTAAATTACATTTTGGTTTCCATACCCTGTAAGCAGTCTATGGACAAGGTATGACAGCAATCCATGCTTCGGTTTAGTTTCCCTGGCACTGTTTCCAAATGCTAACGTTTTAGCATTTGTGGCACAAATCCCATAGCCTGACGACTCACACTGAATTCTTCCGCTGCTCTGTCTTTCGCTACATAGTTTAGTCTGAGACTGCCATCATTGAAGTCGTTTGTGGTCACGAGGGGCACGAGGGGCATTGTACAAAACAAAGTAATAAGCGATTGGATCGTCTCTAACCAATCAGAGTATGAAAGCCAATTACAGATTTTCAAACTGCCGCTTTACCCACGTGTTCTGGCTCTGGCCCAACCCATCGATTTCTGGACCAATCAGACAGCCCGAATGTGTGCACATTCGGTGAAGGGTCGGGGAGGTTCTCAGATCCAGACTCATTGCAGAGAACAAACTAACGTCTGTGGGTGTGGCGTAGCGTTTGGCCGGAGCATGGAGTCTGGATAGCCAGGCAACAAATCCCATTCAAGTCATGGGACCGATATTAGCATTTTTCACGCATGATGTTCAAATCTTTCAAAAGTATCTAAAATTGATTGTGAAGTTCAACAAAGGCACTTATAGATGATTTGAACATGATGTGCGAAATAAATGCTAATATCGGTCCCATGACTTGAATGGGATTCGGGCCACAAATGCTCAAACGTTAGCATTTGGAAACAGTGCCAGTCACTGCCAGGGAAACTAAACCAAGGCATGGATTGCTGTCATACCTTGTACATAGACTGCTTACAGGGTAAGGAAACTAATGTGTCATTTTGTAATTTGGGTGAACTATCCCTTTAAGGGCCAGGAGTTCTTCCAAACCCTGTGACCTGACAAGGCAAAAATCTAGTATGTCCCTGAGTTTTTCCTGGTCAGATGCTGTGGTAAGCAAAAATGCTGGCCCTAGTAATGTTAACTAAATGTGTTAAATTGAAAACCTCTAGTATAGGCAAGAGGATGTAGTGAGGGTGATGAACTGACAAGGCAGGAGGCAGCAACAGTGCTGATCAGATACTGTACCTGGGTCAGTGACCTCATAAAGGGTGAGCTGACATTGCAGGTCCTCTCGTTCCTCTCCCTGTCCTCAGCACGACATTCAATGTGGATGTCTGAGTGGTCCTGCAGGGTGACAGAGATACACTGAGTCAAGTGCTGAATAAGATCTAATGTATTCATTTGATCACAAACAGTCATAGGTTATTTATGCTGTAATCTTATCATAGTAAGAGATGTCATGATGTGGTTATCTAACTCACATGTCTGATGAAAAATTAAAAGATTAGTGTATGACCTCTCCCCTCACGGATATGATATGAACTCACTATGCAGCGACAGTTCGCAGAACCATACCATGGTTATCCTCTGTTTTCTCCTACCTTGACTATGAGACTGGAGAAGAGCAGGTTGTGGGAGTGGGAGATGTTGAGCGTGGTGCCATAGGCGTTCTCTCCTCGGTTCTCCAGGCGAGCTTCCACCACCAGCCTCCTGCGTGACGCCTCCACCACTCGCTCCGAGCTCACCGAGGCCCCCTGGTGGTGACACAGCGCCCATGCATCCCGCTCCCTTGGCCCACAGAACTGCCTTTGGCCATAGACATACATGAACATTAAAGCCACATGGAAAATCCCCTTCTGAGACCCTTTTTAAGGTGAATTCAATGATTCAATGATTGGTGGGTTCCCCGAGTGACTTTTTCCATTTCCACTGCTGTCTGAAAATATCAGATGGGTGGAAACAGTATAGCGGAAACTCCACCTTGCCTATTAGAGTGAAGTGTAAAGGGGAGTGGCTTAAGGGATGATTTGGGTTTGGACATACAGACACCATCTCAGAAAAGTGTGTGTCTGTGTGTGTGTGTTTCTGAGGGCTAAAAAGTCACCTGCGGTCTAGAAGGTCTGTGTGACTGTGCAGGATGAGGTCAGGGACACAGCTGTCATCCCCCTCGCAGCCATTCCAGAAGGGGATCTACAGAGAGATATCAAATAAAAAAATCTAATACAATTTTACTTGTCACATGCTTCGTAAACAACAGGTGTGGACTAACAGTGAAATGCTTACTTGCGGTCCCTTCCCAACAAGGCAGAGAGAAAGAAAACAGAGAAATAATAGAAAAGTAAAACACATAATAATACAAGTGATAATAGATACACAATGAGTAACGATAACTTGGCTATATACACGGGGTACCAGTACCGAGTCGATGTGCAGGGGTACGAGGTAATTGAAGTACAGTTGAAGTCGGAAGTTTACGTACACTTACGTTGGAGTCATTCAAACTCGTTTTTCAACCACTCCACAAATTTCTTGTTAGCAAACTATAGTTTTGGCAAGTCGGTTAGGACATCTACTTTGTGCATGACACAAGTAATTTTTCCTACAATTGTTTACAGACAGATTATTTCACTTATAATTAACTGTATCACAATTCCAGTGGGTCAGAAACTTACATACACTAAGTTGACTGTGCCTTTAAACAGCTTGGAAAATTCCAGAAAATGATGTCATGGCTTTAGAAGCTTCTGATGGGCTAATTGACATCATTTGAGTCAATTGGAGGTGTACCTGTGGATGTATTTCAAGGCCTACCTTCAAACTCAGTGCCTCATTGCTTGACATCATGGGAAAATCAAAAGAAATCAGCCAAGACCTCAGAAGAAAATGTATAGACCTCCACAAGTCTGGTTCATCCTTGGGAGCAATTTCCAAACGCCTGAAGGTACCATGTTCATCTGTACAAACAATAGTACGCAACTATAAACACCATGGGACCATGCAGCCGTCATACCGCTCAGGAAGGAGACGTGTTCTGTCTCCTAGAGATGAACATACTTTGGTGCGAAAAGTGCAAATCAATCCCAAAACAGCAGCAAATGACCTTGTGAAGATGCTGGAGGAAACAGGTACAAAAGTATCTATATCCACAGTGAAAGGCCGCTCAGCAAGGAAGAAGCCACTGCTCCAAAACCGTCATAAAAAACACAGATTACGGTTTGCAACTGCACATGGGGACAAAGATCGTACTTTTTGGAGAAATGTCCTCTGGTCTGATGAAACAAAAATAGAACTGTTTGGCCATAATGACCATTTGGAGGAAAAAGGGGGATGCTTGAATGCCGAAGAACACCATCTTAACCGTGAAACACGGGGGTGGTAGCATCATGCTGTGGGGGTGCTTTGCTGCAGGAGGGACTGGTGCACTTCACAAAATAGATGGCATCATGAGGAAGGAAAATGATGTGGATATATTGAAGCAACATCTCAAGACATCAGTCAGGAAGTTAAAGCTTAGTCGCAAATGGGTCTTCCTAATGGACAATGACCCCAAGCATACTTCCAAAGTTGTGGCAAAATGGCTTAAGGACAACAAAGTCAAGGTATTGGAGTGGCCATCACAAAGCCCTGACCTCAATCCTATAGAAAATATGTGGGCAGAACTGAAAAAGCATGTGCGAGCAAGGAGGCCTACAAACCTGACTCAGTTACACCAGCTCTGTCAGGAGGAATGGGCCAAAATTCACCCAACTTATTGTGGTAAGCTTGTGGAAAGCTACCTGAAACGTTTGACTCAAGTTAAACAATTTAAAGGCAATGCTACCAAATACTGATTGAGTGTATGTAAACTTCTGACCAACTGGGAATGTGATGAAATAAATAGAAGCTGAAATAAATCATTCTCTCTACTATTATTCTGACATTTCACATTCTTAAAATAAAGTGGTGATCCTAACTGACCTAAGACAGGGAATTTTTACTAGGATAAAATGTCAGGAATTGTTAAAAACTGAGTTTAAATGTATTTGGCTAAGGTGTATGTAAACTTCCGACTTCAACTGTAGATATGTACATATAACTAGGAATAAAGTTACAGATAGTAAACAGTAGCAGCAGCGTATGTGATGAGTCAAAAAAGTTTGTGCAAAAAGGGTCAAGTGTCAAGAGCCCGGGTAGCTTTTTGGTTAACTATTTAACTAACTATTTAGCAGTCTTATGGCTTGGGGGTAGAAGCTGTTCAGGGTCCTGCATAGATAGTAGGAAATATAGTGTAATATATTGGTGTAAAGCCAAATAACAGGTCCGCTCTTCAGCAAAAGTATGTATCAGAACCAGTACATCTGTTCTCAGTTGCAAAACATGCATGAACTCAATCAATGCAGTACTATATGAACATTATCTCATATACATCTGCTGTACAGTAACGATAGAGTGGAGATAATGGGAGTAGGTGCTGTAGCTCTTTGTGATGTAGCTCTATGTACTGTACCTCTAGGTGTAGTTACTGGTTCTCCTCACCTCAGTCCTAAAGGTAGTGGGCCAGCCGTGGTCCAGCACCGGGCCTTCGTCTGGACTCTGCAGACCTGCCTTCACCACAAACACTATGGGATGGCCGTAGTCTGTAGTTTCCTGTTGGAGCAAGGTGGAAGTCAACTATAGAAATGTAATTACCCATTGCCTTAGTTTGAAGGGCTTTTTCCCTTTTGGAATGTATATTTCTAGAAGGGAAAAAGTCTACTCCCTGCCACAACTAATTTCAATACAAACATGTATGTACAATGAAATGTATACAGCAATAAAGACGTTTATGCAGAATTAAAACTTGATCATTCATGAACTGCTTTTACTTGCAGGTGCTTGGCCTGAGACTGTGCTCACTCACCTGTACGTAGAAGTGGACATGTTCACAGGACTCCTCCCCGCGTTGTAGTGTCAGATTCCTTGTCAGCTGCTGTCTGTCGTTGTCGTCCAGCGATGCTCTGGGAGGGTGCCTCCTTTCGTCAAGCAGCACGCTGTACCACATACCTGACCACGCTCAGAGAGAGAGAGAGATAAAGAGTGTGTGTGAGTGTAACAGTAGTGGTTCTGTCACTTCGATGACCACACTTGTGTGTAGTGTAACCTTGTCTGAGACCTCAACAGTTGTATTGGCTCCTCGGCCTGAGCCAATGCCTTAGCTTAGCGGGCTAATATGATGTTCTGCACACAGAAGACCTAGGTTCGTATCCCGTCGGTCACATGAGAAGACAACTGAATGATGTTCATGTCCACTAAACTGTGTTGACAGGCAGTAAATGTTGACACCTACTGCTTTAAGATTCATTTAGGCTCGAATGATATGTCAGTGAGGGCTAGCTGTATGTAGCAGGCAATAAATATTCCCTCTCCATCTATCCAACTGTGGGCATTAACGATATGAGGACACAGACTAGACTTTTTCATCTTTTTCATTCCGGCTTCTCCTCTCACCATGGGCGGTCGTGGTAACAGGAGAATGCTGAATGGGAAAAGTGGAAGCACAGTATGTTGTGTCTGTCAGGTTCTGCTTTCATCTAAAAGTGGGTCTGAAAGTATGCAACTCTAGCCCTGAGGTAAATCAGGAGCTACGCTGCTCCATTTCTATGTGTGTAGAGATAGTGTGTGTGTGTGTGTGTGTGTGTGTGTGTGTGTGTGTGTGTGTGTGTATGCCTGCGTGCATACACACTTCTGTCTAATAGAAACCAGACGAGAGGAAGGAGGGAGAAGGGAGGGAGGACTGGAAGGGAAGACAGAGACCGACACACTTTAAGCCCCTCTCCATGGCTCTGCTCTGCTGAGTGACGCACTTTAAAGAGTTCCCCTGAGCCCCTGGGCTTAGGACATCAGGAAAAAGGATTTCATGATAAAACGGACTGACCCGAGCCACACATCTGACAGGAATTACACACAGACACAACAACGACCACTAACCCTTTCACATGACACTCCCTTTGTGCTGTAATTTTTTTTGCACCCCTCATAAAATGAACGCAAAAATAATGATTACCACCACAAATAACAATAACTGTAGCAACCCTGTGTTTATAAACATGGATATCAACTTAACCACTTCAGCATGGTTTTATGGCACAGTCGATGCCACGCAAGTCTACGGGTCAGAAGGTTGAGGGTCCGCCGACCACCACGGACAAGCTCACTCTCCCTGCCTGTCTCATTACACTACTATCAGAGCTGGCTGCAGACAATGATCGGCTAGGGGGAAATCAGATTTTCAAAATGTTTATGGTATATTTATAATTATATACAATATTTGCACCAAAGTTTCCACCAACAGGATTCTGTGCTAATGCACCAAAAAACAACCAATAAGCAACCAGCATACCGATGACTGACTTTGCTTCACCAGGGTTTGCGTTTTCAACCTCATAATCAAGTAGAGTATGTCAATCTCGACAAATAAACAATACAACCCTTCCTACTCAGTATCGAAGGCTTGGCTTGACAATCTCCAAATGTCATTAAACTTTTTGGTGTTTTGTAACAGATGTCTCTTTCCATTCATCGATTGGCCGGTGCGCAGTTTGGATGCTGGAATTATATTAGAGTGGAGTGGATGAAAGTGAGCAGGTAGCCTACAGGAGACTTTTGAAGTAGCCTAATCAGATTAAAATATTGTGACCGGTTGTGTTATACATTTTAAAAGTTAAATGACAAATATTTTGGCAATATTGAAGCGTTAGGTTTGAGGTCAAGGAATAGTCGCTCGGATTGGAAAGGAGGCAGAACAGGTGCGTGTTAAGCTTTCCTGAATAACTGGGCCTGCTGGGAGCATAGGACTATGTGGCTACACTATATAGAACGACTTGGGAGAATGATGATGGGCAACAGACAGCTCATCAGTATCAGAAGTAAAACTACAGCCAGACTGTCCTGTACTGCGCCTTTCTAGACCTTATAATCTGTCGAGAGTAGATTCACAACTGATCCAAATGGAATGAATAGAATGAAATATTCAAATAACAGGGCTTTTGCGCCATTATTTTCATTACATTTTCACTGCAGTTTACAGCCTAGAGTAGAATTGTACTCAATTGTACTCACTTGAAAACAATAATGCACATATTCATTGCATTGTGGTGTTATAGACTATTCTAGATAGGATAATTGTATTGTTCCCAAAGCCAAGCAAATGTAATGAACTGTATAATGGATTAATTTTCTTTTAAAGTGAGGCGAGCCAGCGAAAAAACATTATATTGTGACAGTATAATGGTTTTGGAATGACAGTCACAGGGACCAGGGTTTGAATCCAAGTCAGGCTACCCCACTCCTCTATATTGGTGTCAGGTGTTGGAGAGCACCATTGAAAGCATGTCCCAGCCGAGTTTTAGTCAAAGTACATTTGTGATGGCAGAGTACAGAGGCGTCATGCCCATAGGGGGCACAGCTTTGTCCTTTTTTATTTATTTTATTATTTTTATTTTTATTCCCTCTTGATCACCTCGCTAACATTCTCGTGTACTTTATGTTCCCTCAGAATTTTGGGGTGAATGACGCCCCTGACAGAGTATGCAAAACAAATGTGCACCCGATTGATAGATATCATTCTGTCAGGTAGGCCTATTTTGCAGTCAATATTTAATTGAGATGGTTTTTGAACATTGAAAATGACTGTTTCAGCATGCATCGCAGATTTTATAGAGCCAATAAGCTATACAGTGCATTCGGAAAGTATTCAGACCCCTTTACTTTTTCCACATTTTGTTACGTTACAGACTTATTCTAAAATTGATTGAATAAATGTTTATCCTCATCAATCTACTCACAATACCCAATAATGACGAAGCAAAAACAGGTTTTAAGACATTTTAGCAAATGTATTAAAAATAAGAAACAGAAATACCTTATTTACATAAGTATTCAGACCCCTTTGCTATGAGACTCGAAATTGAGCTCAGGTGCATCCTGTTTCCATTGATCATCCTTGAGATGTTTCTACAACTTGATTGGAGTCCACCTGTGGTAAATTAAATTGATTGGACATGATTTGGAAAGGCACACACCTGTCTATATAAGGTCCCACAGTTGACAGTGCATGTCAGAACAAAAACCAAGCAAGGAGGTCGAAGGAATTGTGTCCGTAGAGCTCAGAGACAGGATTGTGTCGAGGCACAGATCTAGGGAAGGATTTTAAAAAATGTCTGCAGCATTTAAGGTCCCCAAGAACACAGTGGCCTCCATCATTCTTTAAATAGAAGAATTTTGGAACCACCAAGACTCTTCCTAGAACAGGCCAAACTGAGCAATCGGGCGAGAAGGGAGGTGACCAAGAATCCGATGGTCACTCTGACAGAGCTCCAGAGTTCCTCTGTGGGGATGGGAGAACCTTCCAGAAGGACAACCATCTCTGCAGCACTCCACCAATCAGGCCTTTATGGTAGAGTGGCCAGACGGAAGCCACTCCTCAGTAAAAGGCACATGACAGCCCGCTTGGTGTTTGCCAAATGGCACCTAAAGGACTCTCGGATCATGAGAAACAAAACTCTCTGGTCTGATGAAACCAAATTGAACTCTTTGGCCTGAATGCCAAGCGTCACGTCTGAAGGAAACCTGGCACCATCCCTACAGTGAAGCATGGTGGTGACAGCATCATGCTGTGGGAATGTTTTTCAGCAGCAGGGACTTGGAGACTAGTCAGGATCGAGGGAAAGATGAACGGAGCAAAGTACAGAGAGATCCTTGATGAAAACCTGCTCCAGAGCGCTCAGGACCTCAGACTGGGGCGAATGTTTCCCTTCTAACAGGATAACGACCCTAAGCACAACTCTGAATTTCCTTGAGTGGCCCAGCCAGAGCCCGGACTTGAACAAACTACTGAGTAAATGTGATATTTCAGTTTTTTATTTTTAATACATTTGCAAAAATTCTAAAAACCTGTTTTTGCTTTGTCATTATGGGGTATTGTGTGTAGATTGATTAGGGAAAAAAACTATTTAATCAATTTTAGAATAAGGCTGTAACGTAACAAAATGTGGAAAAAGTCAAGGGGTCTGAATACTTTCTTCTGTGTCTTACCTTTAGAAGTGTTTACTTCAGGCTGACTACTAGCATCTATTGAGTTACAATGTCCCATAAATTGAATGTCCAAATCAATTTAAAGTGATTTTTGCAGGGACACAATTCGAAAGGAAGGCTAAAGCAAAGAAAATGTACTTTTACTGTTTGCGATTCACAAATTATTATTTTGATGGCCATGATTTGATTCACCGCAATTTAACAGAGCCTCAACTACTACAATGGTGAAGCACATCATTCAATTAGTCAAAAATAATCATTAAAAAAAATATTGATTCATATTAATTAAATGAATCACTATTCTATATATTTTTTCACTGTTTTGAGAAATGTGAGGGGAGTAGCATGCAAGCAGAAATGTGCCTATATGGAAGAAATTATATAGTAAAACCTGCTAAATGGGGAATGTAAACCAGGGGGAAAATGCGCTACCCTCCCATGTTCCCAATAAAAAAAAATCACACAACCCTCCCCAAAGCAAAAAAAAAACTTCAATAACTCTCCCCTATTTTGGACCTGCCCCCCCACCCAAGTAACTGTCCCTAAGAAGTTCAAGGGAAGCAATGCATATAACATACTGTCCCTGTCCTATTTTGCTGTCCACTTATTCTGAGCAAATGGATGAATATAAAGTGATAAACACCAGGGTGCGGCTGAGATGAAAAGGTCAAAGTGCAGGTGGGCAGCAGCTTCCAGCATGTAACTCTTCACTGCTTTAGAAAGTCACCAGTCTATTGAGGCCTTCAGTCAAGAAACCCATAAATCTTATACCGTAGCCTACTCACACGTGTGTACGTGTGCATTAAGCCATATTACCTGTGAATCCCACTGTTCTAATGAACTGTGACATGATTAAACCAAAGTCCTGATTCTTACAATTCTCAGATCCCATGGCATCTATTGAAATAGGAGTGTAAACGGGGGTGGGTTCCTCAGCTACATATTGCCACTATCACTCCTCACCCTCCACGGTGATAGCAAATGTGTAGTTGGAGCCACACATTGGTGGGACGATGGGGTGAGTTTTACACGTACAACGTAAAAGTAAGAAGTGCTGCACTGTATAAAATGCTAACCATATTTTTGTTTTTATTATGGCATTTTGATTTGAGAGGAGTGGTAACTCAGATGACTGATTAAAGTTTCACTAGTACCCATTCTCTCACAAAGTCACATAAAACATCCCATAGTGTAATGGAGAGAGAACAAGGGAATCTTTATGTAAACAGCTCTGCTCTGTGATACTTGAGGTTTTGTTGGTCTCTTTGTGCCCCCAAATCTTTACTGCAATAAGCAGCCAGAAACTAGGCAGAAAGCACAATGAACCAAGAGTTAGGATTCCCAACCAAAATTTACATGAAACCACATGCACACACTAACACGCCACGCACACACTCATTCCAACACTTTTAATTCAGTAATAATGCCCAAATAGACCAAACACACCCACTCCATGGCTCTGCATCTGAGTCCTGGCATCCAGACTGAGACACACGATGGCAGACATGCAGGTGACGTCCTTGCCTCCCCTGCGGCAGTCCTTGTTGAAGGTGTTGATTTTTTCAGGTTCAAAAGTGGCTTTGGCTTGGATGCGCACCACACTGCGAGACCTGAGGGAAGACAAGGGGCAGGAGGGCCATTATCAGTGTGTGTGTGTGTGTGTGTGCGTGAGCATGATGGGACTGCAATAGTATGGGAGTGTGTTAGGGTGAGTGTGTGTCACTAACCAGATCAGTACTGCTGCACCCAACGCGCCCACAGCCAAGTCCACCAACCCGTCTTCATTGACATCCATCACCCCATGAACACTACGGCCAAAATACTGCAGACCAGCAGAGAAGCATGCTGCTCCAATTCTCTAAGAGAGAAAGGGAGGGAGGGAGGGAGGGAGGGAGGGAGGGAGGGAGGGAGGGAGGGAGGGAGGGGGAAAAACCCAGTTAGTGAGACAGCAAAAATACTTTTAGTATTGGTTCTGAATAATCCACTGCATTACTAGGGGTTGTATGCCACTGAGCTCACCTGTCTGTATTTGTGTTGTATGCCACTGAGCTGGCCGTAGAACAGGTAGATGGCCCCCTGGTGGTCGTCCTCTAGAGGAGCTCCCACCACAACCTCACTGTACGAGTCACCATTCATATCAGGGATGGGGGCCATCGCTCCGCCAAAACGAGAGTTCTGGGACTGGTCGGGGACTTCAAGGGTCCCTTCCAAAATGAAATGGCTCTGTAGAGAGAGAAAGAGAATGGTCTCTGTACGCCTATGTTGTCACGCCCTGGCTCTGGGGACTCTTAAATGTTGAGCCAGGGTGTGGAGTTTCTATGTCATATTTTCTATGTTGTGTTTTCTAGATCGTGTAGATCTATGTTGGCCAGGGTGGTTCCCAATCAGAGGCAGCTGTAGCTCGTTGTCTCTGATTGGGGACCATACTTAGGCAGCCTGTTTGGCACTAGTCGGGGTGGGATCTTGTTCCGTAAAGGTTTGTTTTGTGTAACCTAGGACTTCACGTATCGTTTGTTTGTTGTTTTGTGTCGTGTTAAGTACATAATAAAATGTACGCTTATCACGCTGCGCCTTGGTTCCACGAGTCATTGAACGTTCGTGACAGAAGATCCCACCAAAAGAGGACCAAGCAGCGTGTCCAGGAACAGACAGCCTGGACCTGGGAGGAGATCCTGGACGGGAAGGGATCCTGGACTTGGGAGGAGATTCAGGCAGGAATGGATCGGCGTCCTTGGGAGGAGACTGTGGAGGCGCGCTATAGAGAGGAGCAGCGGCAACGCAGAGGGTACCGGCCGAGGAGGAAGCCCGAGAGACAGCCCCAATAAAAAATTTTGGGGGGGCTAAAAGGGTGGTTGGCGGAGCCTAGGGTTAGAGCAGAGCCAACTCCCCGTACTCAGGCTAGGAAGCGTGTGACTGGGCAGGCTCCGTGTTATGCGGAGCCACGTACTGTGCCGCGAGTGTTCCGGCACAGTCCTGTACGTCCTGTGCTAGCACCACGCACGTGTCGTGCAAAGATGGGCATTCAGCCAGGACGGGGTGTGCCGGCTCAACGCTCGTGGTCTCCAGTACGCCTCCTCGGTCCCGTATATCCTGCGCCAGTGCCACGTGCTGTAGCGCCAGTACGAGTGCACAGCCCCGTACGTCCTGTGCTGATGCCTCACACGTATTGTGTGGAAGTAGGCATTCAGCCAGGACGGGTTGTGTCAGCTCTCCGCTCCAGACCTCCAGTCCGCCTCCACAGTCCGGCCCGGCCCGTTCCGGCTCCCCGCACCAAGCCAGTGGTGTGTGTTCCCAGTCCAGCCCGGCCTGTTCCTGCTCCCCGCACCAAGCCAGTGGTGCGTGTTCCCAGTCCGGTCCGGCCTGTTCCTGTCCCTCGCGCCAAGCCAGTGGTGCGCGTCGCCAGCCCGGTCCGGCCTGTTCCTGCCCCTCGCACCAAGCCAGTGGTGCGCGTCGCCAGCCCGGTCCGGCCTGTTCCTGCCCCTCGCACCAAGCCAGTGGTGCGCGTCGCCAGCCCGGTCCGGCCTGTTCCTGCCCCTCGCACCAAGCCAGTGGTGCGCGTCGCCAGCCCGGTCCAGCCTGTTCCTGCCCCTCGCACCAAGCCAGTGGTGCGCGTCGCCAGCTCGGTCCGGCCTGTTCCTGCTCCCTGCACCAAGCCAGTGGTGCGCGTCGTCAGCCCGGTCCGGCCCGTTCCTGCTCCCCGGGGTCCGGTCCAATTCCTGTCAGCGGATCCACTCCGGAGCCAGAGCAATCCGCTCCACCGGTGCCCAGTCCAGCTCCGGCCAGCGGCTCCAGTCCAGAGCCTGTACAGATCGATCCACCGTCGTCGTCCCCAGCTCCAGTCAGCGGTGCCAGACCAGACCAGGGGCGCAACGGGGAGGTGGAGAGAAAGTGGTGGTCACGCCCGGAGCCGGATCCACCTCCGAGGCGGAATGCCCACCCGGCCCACCCGGCCCACCCGGCCCCTACGATCTAGAAAACACAACATAGAAAATATGACATAGAAACTCCACATCCTGGCTCAACATTTAAGAGTCCCCAGAGCCAGGGCGTGACAGTACCCCCCCCCCAAAGGCAGTCCGCGCCTTTGGGGGGGGGGGTACTGTCACGCCCTGGCTCTGGGGACTCTTAAATGTTGAGCCAGGATGTGGAGTTTCTATGTCATATTTTCTATGTTGTGTTTTCTAGATCGTGTAGATCTATGTTGGCCAGGGTGGTTCCCAATCAGAGGCAGCTGTAGCTCGTTGTCTCTGATTGGGGACCATACTTAGGCAGCCTGTTTGGCACTAGTCAGGGTGGGATCTTGTTCCGTAAAGGTTTGTTTTGTGTAACCTAGGACTTCACGTATCGTTTGTTTGTTGTTTTATGTCGTGTTAAGTACGTAATAAAATGTACGCTTATCACGCTGCGCCTGGGTTCCACGAGTCATTGAACGTTCGTGACATATGTAGATATTCCATTAGAAATCAGCCGTTTCCAGCTACAATAGCCATTTACAACATTAACAATGTCTACACTGTATTTCTGATCAAGTTGATGTTATTTTAATGGACAAAAAAATTGCTTTTCTTTCGAAAACAAGGACATTTCTAAGTGACCCCAAACTTTTGAACGGTAGTGTATAGTGTACATGTACACTCCAATTCACTTCTCCTGGTTCTCACCTGCTGAGTCACCCTGTAGATGTAGACCTTGCCCCTCTCCCAGCCCTTACTGAAGAACATGGGTGCTGCCACCAGGAGGAAGTCCGTCACACCGTCCCCATCGATGTCCAGAGGAGCTAGCTCACTCCCGTAGTATGACCCAATCTACAGACACACCATATGACAAAGAGTCAAGCCATTTTTACTCTACTCAAATGTGCATAACAGTGACTCATTTATATCTAATAATATAATAATAATAATAATAATATGCCATTTAGCAGACGCTTTTATCCAAAGCGACTTACAGTCATGCGTGCATACATTTTTTTTGTGTATCTATGTTCACATTTAACCCGAACCATATCACAATTTGAAAAGTGTTAAATTAACACAGTACAATTACTGCCAATAGCATCCAGTGAGGGGAAAACCCCATTCATATCAAGTCCATTTAATTCCCCTAATCTTATTTTTAGCCCACAGACCCCACCAGACAGGAAGGAGTGTAAGAGGGAAGGGGAGGCATCTGAGACAGGATGCACCACCTAACACATCCCTGCCGCACAAGCTTACTGTAAATCTGGCCCCAGTGGCCTCAGGCTACCACAGAAAACACCACAGCAGCCGCAGTTAATCCTAGAGGAGTACTGCATTTCTAATATCCCCTCAGGAATGCGCAGCACCGACTCTAGGACTCTACCCCTCTACCCCTCTCCCTCCCTCCCTCCATCTCCCAAACAACAGTCTGGTCTGACACAGTGGTTAGCCCTTGTTTACTGGGAGCCTGTTGCCCGGGGCGATGTGTATGTGCTCAGTAGCAAACCCTGTTTTGATTGGATGCATACAGATGAGAAGCACATGGGCCAGTGAGACGAAGGCCATCTGGACCGGGCAGCCGAGTCTAGACCATAATGTAATGAAGACTCCCATGTGTCACACATGTGTGCACACAAGCTCGACACGTAGAGCCAGTGTGTGTCAGTGTGTGTGTGTGTGTCGGTGTATGTGTGTGGGTGTTACTGTCAGTGTCGGTGTGTCGTGTTGGTGTGTGTTTGTTTTTAAACTTAGGCAAATGAACTCAAGCACCTGCCTGTAATGGTTTCCCCCAAGGTTCAGTCATTGGCCCACTTGTATTAATCATCTATCTCTGTGTGTCTCACCTGCTGGCCCTTGAGTGAGTGTAGGATGGTGAGGTTGCCATTGTTTCTCAGGGTAAATATGATGACTTTGCCAGTGTGGTTGAAGCGGGGGGCTCCAGCAACATAGAGCTGCCTGCCTTTGGCCGACACCACTGAGTTTACTGTGTAACCTGGGAGATTGGACACAAGGACACACTTTCTGAAGGCACTGTCCAAAAGTTATGGGCGGAGGGTGCAGTTATGAGGGTGCAGTGTGATAACCATTTTGAAAAAACGTTTGCTTAAAAACTGGAAATCAAATGACCCTCCATCGTTAAGACAGTGGATGGTTCAAATGCATTATTATCTAAATATTGAAAAGATGTGGGCTACAGAGTGAAACAAAATAGTACAATTTGAAGCCATATGGCATAAAATATTACAAGCACAGGAGATATTTAAAGGATGAGAAATTAGAGAAAATGTTATTGTGAGACGGGCAGGATAGGTGAGGAACTTGTGGGTCAGAGCAAGTGTGATGTCATTAATGTTTGTTGAAATGTACACCACCGTTCCAAAGTCTGGGGTCACTTAGAAATGTCCTTGTTTTCGAAAGAAAAGCAATTTTTTTGTCCATTAAAATAACATCAAATTGATCAGAAATACAGTGTAGACATTGTTAATGTTGTAAATGGCTATTGTAGCTGGAAACGGCTGATTTTTTATGGAATATCTACATAGGCGTACAGAGACCCATTATCAGCAACCATCAGTCCTGTGTTCCAATGGCACGTTGTGTTTGCTAATCCAAGTTTATCATTTTAAAAGGCTAATTGATCGTTAGAAAACCCTTTTGCAATTATGTTAGCACAGCTGAAAACTGTTGTGCTGATTAAAGAAGCAATAAAACTGGCCTTCTTGAGACTAGTTGAGTATCTGGAGCATCAGCAATTGTGGGTTCGATTACAGGCTCAAAAAGAGAAATGAAGGCTATTCTATGTGAGAAATTGCCAAGAAATTGAAGATCTCGTACAACGCTGTGTACTACTCCCTTCACAGAACAGCACAAACTGGCTCTAACCAGAATAGAAAGAGGAGTGGGAGGCTACGGTGCACAACTAAGCAAGAGGACAAATACATTAGAGTGTCTAGTTTGAGAAACAGGCACCACACAGGTCCTCAACTGGCAGCTTCATTAAATAATACCCGCAAAACACCAGTCTCAACGTCAACAGTGAAGAGGCGACTCCGGGATGCTGACCTTCTAGGCAGAGTTGCAAAGAAAAAGCCATATCTCAGACTGCCCATCTTAATCTTTTTTTTTTTATTGGCCAGTCTGAGATATGGCTTTTGGATTAGCAAACACAACGTGCCATTGGAACACAGGACTGGCCTCTGTACGCCTATGTAGATATTCCATTAAAAATCAGCCGTTTCCAGCTACAATAGCCATTTACAACATTAACAATGTCTACACTGTATTTCTGATCAATTTGATGTTATTTTAATGGACAAAAAAATTGCTTTTCTTTCGAAAACAAGGACATTTCTAAGTGACCCCAAACCTTTGAACGGTAGTGTATGTATGTAAATGTTAAGTTGTCTATTGTTTTTGTCTATATGTTTTTCTATTGTCAAAAAAGTAAAATAAAACACACAACAATACAGTACTGCATGCAATGCTAGACATACTATTCATCCATCCCCTATCCATCCATCTCTTTATTCATCTCTCCACACACCCATTCATCTATTTATTTATTAGTCTATGCATCCATCCATCTATCCATCTATCCATCCACCTACACAATTCTACCTGCCCATCCAGTTCACTCACCCAAGTAGGCCCCATGGTTCTTCAGTTCTTCTGGGAACTCTTCCAGATAGGAGGACTTGGGTGGGACTACCTTCCCATGACGTGTCTCTTTCAGAACAGCTCCGTTCCAATCGTAGGCCCCCACGGCCCCCACCAATATGCCATCCTACAGGAACAAGCATTTTCACATCACTTGCCAAGTACACATCTGTCATTAGGTCAATGTACCTCTTTGGCCACCGTACAAAAAGGTACCAAAGCAGAGAGTGATGACGGTGGACAGATATGTCTTTTATGAGAAAAATGGGTTGAACATTATGTATTTTCAGTAAGTCCAATCCTTTCAGTGAGTTCATTTATTCTTTGGTAATTTTCCACTCCCTGTTTTACTCTAATGGATTTTACAACCCTAGAACAAGAGCAGCGGGCAATAAAGAAACGAACAGCTTAGTTACATTTTCCAGCATGAATGCATCACCATCATTGCTAAACTTCCACAATAAAAACACGTGAGCACATTTCACAAACACACATACACACACAGGTGGTGTTGAATGAACTATACACACCGTCACACACAGTTGTGAATGCACTATAGACTATACACACATCACACACTCACGTCCAGAGGTGAAAGTCATTCAACCGTGAGTTACACATCTCTCAGGGCGAGTAAAAGTAGGGATCATGATCAATGACAAAATCCCTGGCAGTGTGTGCAGTGCTCAATTAGGCTGCATGATGCATGGGAATGTTCACTGAGCCCTGCCAAACTCGCATACTGTGTTGTATTATTGTTTCAGACACCGGTGATGCTGTCACCACTGTCACTATGCTTCAAGTTCGCCTGATCCCAGATCTGTTTGTGGTGTCTTGCTGTCTCCAATGGTCACATGGCTTGAAAATGATCATAGGAGTTGGCAAGAAAGCATAAACAGATCTGGGACCAGGTTAGCATTGACCATCAAACTATACTCAGCAGACTGCAGGTACTGTACTATAACAACGTGTTCTGATTCATTAGATAAGGAACCAGAAGAACCAACACAAACTGAATACACACAAGTGATTCAGCGCTGACCCTCAGATGTAATCTTCTGATCATCTCCTAAACTACCAGAGCCACTTTCTTAATAACCCCAATCAGTTCAAACGATTTGTCATTTTGGGACAAATCAACAGCTAATCCTTATCCTTTGGAAGAGAGAAAGAAGGTGTTCAAGAGAAACCGTGTTCTACAGGGTTGTATAGTGCTGCATACACAGCCCATGTGAATTTACTAATGAAAGTTCAAATACTGACACCCACGGACAGATTTCAGCCAACGCTAAAGTCATGACTAAATCAAGACAGCAGCGGGGCTGTTGTGAAGATACGCCACGGCCAAGTATTCCCTCACTCATAGTCATAGGCTGTCGACGTGGACAGTTTGACTGGCTGCCATGGCAACTGTTACGGAGTAAAGTAAGTCTCCCATTGGGATGGATACAGTATTATCCATGACTTATGATTTTAAGGATTTGGGAATTAGCTAATAGTTTATTTGCTATTTAGCAAGTACAGACAGACACAGAGTAAGTTTAATGTCCCTGCTGTGATATCCTTTAAGGGTGTTTTCACACATAGTCCTCTTTAAAATAACCAATCTCAGTCCTCTTTAAAGTGAACTCTGGGGTAAAAAAAAGAAGCAAAATAACTCAGTTCTCTTTGTATTCACACTGCACTTGCTTTTGAATGAAGACTCAACTCTTTTGCCAGTTCACTTCACCTATTTTGTGGTCTGAGTCCTCTTTGCATTCACATTGCTATGTTTAAAAAGGAACCAAGATCTTTTTCCAACATTCACTCAATGCACTCTGGGTTTTTACAAAGTGCAGGACAAGCAATTCCATCAGAATGTGTTATCGGACAGCTTTAAATACTGACACCCACGGACAGATTTCAGCGAACGCTAGAGTCATGGCTAAATCAAGACAGCAGCGGGGCTGTTGTGAAAGTATTCAGTACCCTTGACTCGCTCCACATTTTGTTAGGTTACTGCCTTATTCTAAAATTGATTAAATTGTTTTTTTCCCTCATCAATCTGCACACAATACCCCATAATGACGAAGAAAAAACTGGATTTGAGAAATGCTTGCTAAAATATTAATTACAAAAAACGGAACTATTACATTTACATACAGTGGGGAAAAAAAGTATTTAGTCAGACACCAATTGTGCAAGTTCTCCCACTTAAAAAGATGAGAGAGGCCTGTAATTTTCATCATAGGTACACGTCCACTATGACAGACAAATTGAGAATTTTTTTTCCAGAAAATCACATTGTAGGATTTTTTATGAATTTATTTGCAAATTATGGTGGAAAATAAGCATTTGGTCACCTACAAACAAGCAAGATTTCTGGCTCTCACAGACCTGTAACTTCTTCTTTAAGAGGCTCCTCTGTCCTCCACTCGTTACCTGTATTAATGGCACCTGTTTGAACTTGTTATCAGTATAAAAGACACCTGTCCACAACCTCAAACAGTCACACTCCAAACTCCACTATGGCAAAGACCAAAGAGCTGTCAAAGGACACCAGAAACAAAATTGTAGACCTGCACCAGGCTGGGAAGACTGAATCTGCAATAGGTAAGCAGCTTGGTTTGAAGAAATCAACTGTGGGAGCAATTATTAGGAAATGGAAGACATACAAGACCACTGATAATCTCCCTCGATCTGGGGCTCCACGCAAGATCTCACCCCGTGGGGTCAAAATGATCACAAGAACGGTGAGCAAAAATCCCAGAACCACACGGGGGGACCTAGTGAATGACCTGCAGAGAGCTGGGACCAAAGTAACAAAGCCTACCATCAGTAACACACTACGCCACCAGGGACTCAAATCCTGCAGTGCAGACGTGTCCTCCTGCTTAAGCCAGTACATGTCCAGGCCCGTCTGAAGATTGCTAGAGTGCATTTGGATGATCCAGAAGAGGATTGGGAGAATGTCATATGGTCAGATGAAACCAAAATATAACTTTTTGGTAAAAACTCAACTCGTCTTGTTTGGAGGACAAAGAATGCTGAGTTGCATCCAAAGAACACCATACCTACTGTGAAGCATGGGGGTGGAAACATCATGCTTTGGGGCTGTATTTCTGCAAAGGGACCAGGACGACTGATCCGTGTAAAGGAAAGAATGAATGGGGCCATGTATTGTGAGATTTTGAGTGAAAACCTCCTTCCATCAGCAAGGGCATTGAAGAAGTGGCTTCGTAAGAAGCATTTCAAGGTCCTGGAGTGGCCTAGCCAGTCTCCAGATCTCAACCTCATAGAAAATCTTTGGAGGGAGTTGAAAGTCCGTGTTGCCCAGCGACAGCCCCAAAACATCACTGCTCTAGAGGAGATCTGCATGGAGGAATGGGCCAAAATACCAGCAACAGTGTGTGAAAACCTTGTGAAGACTTACAGAAAACGTTTGACCTGTGTCATTGCCAACAAAGGGTATATAACAAAGTATTGAGTAACTTTTGTTATTGACCAAATACTTATTTTCCACCACAATTTGCAAATAAATTCATAAAAAATCCTACAATGTGATTTTCTGGATCTCATTTTGTCTGTCATAGTTGACGTGTACCTATGATGAAAATTACAGGCCTCTCTCATCTTTTTAAGTGGGAGAACTTGCACAATTGGTGGCTGACTAAAGACTTTTTTTCCCCTCTGTAAGTATTAGGACCCTTTACTCAGTACTTTGTTGAAGCACCTTTGGCAGCGATTACAGCCTTGAGTCTTCTTGGGTATGACGCTACAAGCTCGGCACACCTGTATTTGAGGAGTTTTCTCCCATTCTTCTCTGCAGATCCTCTCAAGCTCTGTCAGGTTGGATGGGGAGCATTGCTGTACAACTATTTTCAGGTCTCTCCAGAGATGTTTGATCGGGTTCAAGTCCGGGCTCTGGCTGGGCCACTCAAGGACATTCAGAGACTTGTCCCGAAGCCACTCCTGTGTTGTCTTGGCTGTGTGCTTAGGGTCTTTGTCCTGTTGGAAGGTGAACCTTCACCCCAGTCTGAGGTCCTGAGCGCTCTGGAGCAGGTTTTCATCAAGGATCTCTCTGTACTTTACTCCGTTAATCTTTGCCTCGATCCTGACTAGTCTCCCAGTCGCTGCCTCTGAAAAACATCCCCACAACATGATGTTGCCACCGCCATGCTTCACTGTAGGGATGGTGCCAGGTTTCCTCCAAAAGTGATGCTTGGTGTTCAGGCCAAAGAGTTCAATCTTGTTTCATCAGACCAGAGAATCTTGTTTCTCATGGTCTGACAGTCTTTACATGCCTTTTGGCAAACTCCAAGCGGGCTGTCATGTGCCTTTTACTGAGGAGTGGTTTCCGTCTGGCCACTCTACCATAAAGGCCTGATTGGTGGAGTGCTGAAGAGATGGTTGTCCTTCTGGAAGGTTCTCCCATCTCCACAGAGGAAATCTAGAGCTCTGTCAGAGTGACCATCAGGTTCTTGGTCACCTCCCTGACCAAGGCCCTTCTCCCCCGATTGCTCAGTTTTGCTCAGTTTGGCCGGGCGGCCAGCTCTAGGAAGAGTCTTGGTGGGTCCAAACTTCTTCCATTTTAGAATGATGAAGGCCACTATGTTCTTGGGGACCTTCAATGCTGCAGAAATGTTTTGGTACCCTTCCCCAGATCTGTGCCTCAACACAATCCTGTCTCGGAGCTCTACGGACAATTTCTTTGACCTCATGGCTTGGTTTTTGCTCAGACATGCACTGTCAACTGTGGGACCTTATATAGACAGTTGTGTGCCTTTCCAAATCATGTCCAATCAATTGAATTTACCACAGTTGGACTCCAATCAAGTTGTAGAAACATCTCAAGAATGATCAATGGAAACAGGATGCACCTGAGCTCAATTTCGAGTCTCAGAGCAAAGGGTCTGAATACTTATGTAAGTAAGGTATTTCTGTTTTTAATAAATGTGCAAAAATTTCTAACAACCTGTTTTCACTTTGTCATTATGGGGTATTGTGTGTGTAGGATTTTAGAAGAAGGCTGTAACGTAACAAAATCTGGAAAAAGTCAAGGGGTCTGAATACTTTCCAAAGGCACTGTATATACCTAATTACATTTTGGAAGCTAATAGATTACATTTAGTTAAATGATGAGACATAAACAT